ATTATACATATAGATATATTATATATATGTATATGTATATACGTATATATGTATATATATATACATATACATACGATTCATTGAGTAACACGCCTCCGATTATATTCCGTGTTCATATTGTTTCTTTCTGTTCTTCGTTTAGTTTTATAGAGTAAAAAAAGCCCTTGAAGCATTACGTACCGCGCAGCTAGGCAAATTTAATTCTAAAATGAATACGGTGTTTCGTGAACGAAACCGCTAAAAAGGAGACAAAGAAGCTATTAAACGAAATTTCACGGTGTAATGATCGTCGATCGTCGAATCATCGATGTTCGAGCAACAAAAGATAAGAAAAAAGAAAAAAAAAACGAAAAAATCCAAGGGAATTATCAAGAGACACGAGAGATAAATGGAATTACCTCGATTAAGTTAAATTGAAGTAATAAAGATGAAGACGAAGAAAAAAAAGAAGTTTTAGGGAAGAAGATTAAGTGTACGTAGTTAAACGTTTTAGGGGCAAGCGAACGAACACGGGCATATTACTGCTAAATAGATTCCAAACACGAATTAAAACTGTTTTGTGGAGAGAGAGAGAGAGAGAGCATAGAAGGAAGAGAATGAGAGAGTGAGAGAGAGAGCTGCGACACCAGTGTGTGAGATTTTATGCGTGTGTTATTCAATGCGAAATCACGGCGACGATCCAAAATATATATATATATGTTATTATATATATATTGATCACGATGATGATGATGATGATGATGATGATGATGATGATGAATGGATAAACGATGATAGTAAAAAAAGAAATCGATTATATCGGGCGTGTTGCTACCTATACTATTAGCATGACAAATTTATGACTGGTCCCTAGTAACTCTTTAATCTTACGTTTGTCGCTTAAGTTTAATGATAATGTGCCGTTTACTGGCGATGTCGATTTGTACATAGGGTATAATTATAATAATAATAATAATGATAATGATAATAATAATAATAATATCTATCGGTACGACAATGAATGTATTGTGGGTAGTGATTGTATCCAAGACCGTAAGGACGAAACCGAATGCGAGAGAGAGAGAAAAAAAAAGCGAAAGTTCTTCTATCGCATACGCAAACGAAAACAAATGAAAAAAGAAGCAAAATATGTGAAAACGAAGAAAAAACGCAGAGGCAAAATTGTCGATGAAAAACAGCG